AGACAGAAATTTGAAAGTTGAAGGAGTAGACCTAAGAAAGTTGTTCATAGGTCAGCACAGCTGTTAGAGATATCCCCCACGATCCTATGACAAGATGTGAATGACAAGATAGCTGAACAGAGAAGTTAAGAAACTTGGCTAAAATTAAACAGTATGCTAAAATTAAGCTGGAAACTAAAACTCTTGATTTCTGCTCAACTTAAAAATGCAAATGGAACAATGACTATAAATTCCCCTGCACCCCCAATTACTGAGTTATACAGGATGAGACATCACACTGGGAGAAACTGGCCCTAGGTGTGGGCTTCTAAATATGGGAAACAAGCATTAACTTCTAATTCTTTTATAGAGTTCCCGCTGCAATTGAGGCTTTAGACACACTCCACATACTGTGATTCTGAGCTTGCCCCAGGCAATTGCAGGCCTTTCTCAAATACATAAAAATCTGGGAAGCTTACATGTAGACATAGAGAGCACCTTAAGTAAATGTGGTCATTTTACAACGTATTTATATATTGTAAAAGAACACATCGTCATAAATTATCTTTATGGTAACGAGCTGTGCTTTACAGTACTCTGAATGCCCAGTAGCATTTTACCAACCAAACTTGAAATTGTCAACTGATTTCAGAGTTTTAGCTCATTAAGGACAGTTGTACTGGAATAGTTTTACTGTGGCAGGAAAGAAGTATGGCAAAGAGGACTTTTTGTCTCACTGAATCCATATTTTTGGATAGCCCACTGCAGGATGTGTTTGGCAGTTATTCGAAATGCATCTAAAATTTCAAAATACACCCCAACATATGTAATGGAGAAAGCAATTTCTGGACCTGAAAAAGAAAAAAAAAATGTCAAACAATATGAGCTTGAATTTGTTGAGGTGGGGAGTAGGTGGGTGTGGAGAGGAACTTTTGTGATCAGTCAAGAGAAAAAGTATGAATAAACTCTACAATGGGCGACTTGTAAAAAATTTAGTCAATTCTTGGGGCGCCTGGGTGGCGCAGTCGGTTGAGCGTCCGACTTCAGCCAGGTCACGATCTCGCGGTCCGTGAGTTCGAGCCCCGCGTCGGGCTCTGGGCTGATAGCTCAGAGCCTGGAGCCTGTTTCCGATTCTGTGTCTCCCTCTCTCTCTGCCCCTCCCTCATTCATGCTCTGTCTCTCTCTGTCCCAAAAATAAATAAACGTTGAAAAAAAAAAAATTTTAAAAAAAAATTTAGTCAATTCTTATAGATTCATTTTATTTTATTTTGATAGTCTCAGATCTACAGATATTTAACTTGAAGGCAGACAGCCTTATCGGGAAGTTAGACTGTACTAAAATGTATGGGTTCTTCTTTCATCCATGTTTCAGAACCGAATTGGGCCCTCAAGGACTGGCATCCAGTGTCTATGTCAATGACATTTGTGCTTTTGTAGCCACAGATAGTGTTTGCTCTTGAAGTAAAAACTTATTTTTTACTAAACTCTTTGGTCATATATACCTCCATTTAATAAAGAAAAGTTTCACTATCAATAGGAAGTTATCCTATTTTTGAATAAAAGAATGGAAGAAAGGTAAAAAGAAAGGAGAAAATAAAATAACAAAAACATTAAAAACATAAAAATAATTAAAAACAGAGGAAAATATCTCAAAGAGATACTGTTATATTTACCAAAACCCAAGTATAAGAAGATTAGCTCTGTTGAACTTGACCCTTACTTGACAAGAACATAAATAAAAATATCCATGGAAAGTACAGGAATGGTGTTAAAAAAAGAAAAAGATAATTCCATTTAGTCTATATAAAACCCCAGATAAATCCTGGACCTCATCTGAATGATTTTCCCTTGCTAATTAAAGCTTGTCACATACCATCTAAACCAGTAGTTTTCAAGTGAGGATAATTTTCCTCCTAGGGGATATTTGGCATTGTCTTGAGGCATTTTTGGCTGTCACAGTTGGAGGGATGCTAATGTTATCTAGTGGGTAAAGGCCAGGGATGCTACTAAACATCTTTCAATGCACAAGACAGCCCCCACAACAAATAATTTGGTCTGAAGTATCCGTAGTGCTACTGTAGAGAGAGCTTGTTGTGAAATTACCTAACATGTGTAAAGAATGTGTAAAAAATGGGAACGAAGATCAAATATCCCTCTCAAGTACTTGATAATCTCTCCTATCCATACTGGACTGCAAGTTGCATGGGGCAATGTAGAACACATTGCCATTTGTGAAAAAAAAATATGCAATATGCAATATGCAACAGACCAGCCATCTGCCACAAGGCCTAGAATGTTGAACTTTGAGATATCACAAACAGAATGCAATGAATGGTATGACTTTTACTCCTGTTAAAATGTTATTCTCATTTGCTGTCGATCTAACACTTGAAATTTTCTTTTCTCCCAGTGCTCTAAATTTTAGACATGCATGGCCATTTTATTTTTGATTTTTTAATTTTGTTTTGCTAAGATGTCTTTGGAGTAAACTCATAAATAGACATACTCACCTCGCAGTTACATAGGTCATTTACTTTCAGTCAGCGTATGAGTCTCAGCCATGCATTAATTTTTATGTTTAAAAATTGTATTTACTCATCCTACAAAGGAATAGTGTAATATTCATATTAAGAAACAATAATGTTTATTAAGTTATCAGTGATAAATTTAGGTTTTAGGCTGGTAGAGTACCTACAATACTAATATTGAAACAGTTGGTAGAAGATGCATATTATCTATGGGGCCAAATGAAAATCTTTAAATCATTCTTCAGACTCTAAAATTTTTAATCCATGCAATACCCTGGGAGATATTTTCATAATTTTGTAGATACTGTAAAAACTTGTTGTTCAGTAATTCTTATATTTACTATTATTATGGAAATAACAGCATTGTTAAATAGCATGCTTGGAAGGAAGACATAAATAGTATGATTTTTTAAAGCTATTATTATGCTATTCACAGGTTCATTCTTAGTATTTATACATTTTCTGAAAAACTAGGCTCAATGTATTATTTTCTAAAAATAGGCTGTAAATGCTCAAAATCATTAAATATCTTCAGTAAAATCTACCACTCTAAGCCCATAACATGGTCCTCTCTCTCAACAAATACACACATACCTCCAGGAAACAAGGTTGTAAACAGGAGAGCTTGAAAGTCGGACTCCTGTTTTAAACTACGGGAATGCAGAGATAAAGGAAGCAAGCCTATAACTCCTCTGAACATCCCAGTCTACACGAGATAATTAAAAGGTAGAAGGATCACAGAACATGGAGTGACCAACTTGGCCTGGAACATTTCCAAATGTTCCACCAATGAGTTTACATTTGACCAGGATGTTCAACTAAGTTTACTAGGTACAGAAGGCAGACAGGGAAAAAAGCTTCCCAAGAAAAAACAGAATAGCACGTATTTAGGGAAAGGTAATTCAATTCAAGTCAGTGAGCACTTGTTGAATGCCTACCCGGCACATTTGCCAAGATAATGTGTCTAAGCAAGACCATTGCTCTCTGCAGTGAGTACAGGCTCATGGGGCTCATGCTCATTATCTTCAGCTTTATGATCTATTTAGCTTTTCATAGGCAGAGGATTTCAAATTATAGTTTGGGTACAAGAATTTTATGTATGGCAACATATAGGACAAAGCTACTACTTGTATGAAAAACTTGTACATCCTGTAAGGCTCAATCCATATGTGACCTCCTCGGTCTCTCTAGTGAGCATCTCAGGCCCTTGTTCTGCATCACAGCTGTCTCTGCTACTGTTCCTAACTCACTGCGAGGTCCATGACCGGCGTGGTCAGCATCACCTGGAGCTTTTTAGACACGCAGACCATGGTTACACTCTGCAACTACTGAATCAGAATTTCCATGGGCACAAGCTCCAGATGATTCACATACATAGTAAAGTTGGAAAACAAAGTACTAGATTCTTATTTCTTTCTGCATTTCGTTATTCAAAACAACTAATTATCATTCCTATTTGCGTGATATTTTCCCAACAGAAGGGCTAGTGTGTTATTTATTTTTGTCTCACCCGGAGTGACTAGCATAATACTTCCCATATGGTTGCTAGTCAACACATTTTTATTAAACGTATTTATTAAACTGAGAGCAAATTCCATGGGAGTCATACCTTCATACCTCCCATAACTCAGAGAAGCAATATTCTCCTCCAGACTATAAGTTCTGGGAATGTAGTCATTATATCTATCTGGTTCATATGGTGTCTACCTAGGACATGGAAGGTACTTCAGCCATTAATGATGCAGTGAAGCACTGGGTACCGAAGAGAGTTTTTTAGAAGTATAATTTTATTTTGAATTTATTTAGTAAACAAATGTCAACGAGAACTTTTGTGTCGAGGAATGGTATAAGTTCTTTACAAGTATTAACTTGTATTCTGAACTAAGATTGCTTGGTCAAGCATAAATCTATGCTAAATCAATAAAGGTTGACTCAGGATACCTCATTCAATTCTAAGATAGTATTTAGCACATCTACTTTGGGTCACTGTGTTGCACATGAGTAATTAATGTGCCATAGTTGATATAAACCAGCAGTAGTTGAGCAGTTTTTAAATGTTTGCCTTTCCTTGATGATTGGAGGTAAACACCTCAGTACATGGTATGCCACTCACTTCTGCTTAATATTAAAATAGAATATCAAGGGGCAGCTGGGCGGCTCACTTGGTTGCATGTCAGACTTTGGCCTAGGTCGTGATCTTGCTGTTCCCGAGTTCGACCCCGCATCTGGTTCTGTGCTGACAGCTCAGAACCTGGAGCCTGTTTCAGATTCTGTGTCTCCCTCTCTCTCTCTACCCCTCCTCTGCTCATGCTCTGTCTCTCTTTCCCCAAAATAAATAAACATTAAAAAAAATTTTAAATAGAATATCAAGATATCTCAGCAGAAACCCATATTCCACTTCAGAAGAGAAGCACTCAACTGCAGTCGGGTTTTATATTATATGTTAACTAGTTTATGCATTGATCGTGCATGTACATGATTTTATATTAAAAGGGAGGCAAGATCCCGATCCGATGGACATCACCAGAAGCTATAGCTTACCGCAAGTTCACGTCAGCCAGCGATGTGTGGAGTTACGGGATTGTTCTCTGGGAGGTGATGTCCTATGGAGAGAGACCATACTGGGAGATGTCCAATCAGGATGTAAGTATTTGTAGTCAATGAATTATGGGTTCAGATTAAGAGATCAAGCTGTGCAAGGAAGTGGAGCATAATGAAACCAGGTGGCTCCCAGTTTGTGACATTGAAACAGAATACTTAGAAGAAATGAAATAGTTTCCAGGTCTTGCAAGGATATTAATTGAGTTGCTTTTACAACTTTACATGTTTTCCTTAAGCAGGGGTTTAGAAATGAGAGAAAATGAAGACATTTGTCGCAAGAATGTAAGGAAATAAGTGACCGCAAAGATAACCAAAACGTTATAGGGGACTGTTTGAAGTATTTTTGCTACAAAAGTGCTTCTATGTAATATTAATAAACCACATTACTGCCACCCTTCGTAGGTTTAATTAATGATCTGTGCCATCATTTTGTTTCCTTAAACATAGTATTTCCCAAAGTCAGACAAAACAGCCAATCTGCAGTATGTTGTTTCTCTTCATGTATTAAACTTGCACACGAATTTAGCTACACACCCTGAAGTGTCTGGATGGAAAAATGATCTTTAACTTTCTGTGGTAACTGTGATGTGATTTTTCAAAAGGATTTGTGTTTTTGTAAGTGATGCTTTGCAAATGCTTCGTAAAAGGATGCTATTGACATGGGATCAACACTCAGAGATTTTTCTTTATGCTTAGCCGGAGACTATGAGCTGGATCTTACAGATTCCTAAGATGGAAAGCTGAGATGCTTTTAGTCATTTCCTACTCACTACATACAAAACCACTTTTACTGTATTTGGATATAAAAACCTTTCTGTACTTCTCTAGTCAAGCTGTTTTCTGTGACAGTGCTGGGAAAATCGGACTCTTCTACGTCTCTATTTTCCCAATCTTCTCTATATTAGAGGATCTCAAAGTGAGGTCTCTGGACTACCACCTCTAGCGTGGCCTGGGAATTTGCAGTAATGCAAATTCTCAGGCCTTCCTCGAGACTGACAAATCAGAGGAGAGCCATCTTTGTATTAATAAGTCCTCCAGATTATTCTGATACACAGTAAGTTTGAAAAATCACTGTTTTGGGTGATTTAAAAGTACAAATACAAAGTACAAATAGTTACTTCATGGTTCAGCACATAGGATTTTACCTAAGGAATTTACTATGACTTGAAAGGTACCGTTTGAATTCAGTCCAACTGAAATCTGCAGACTTTCTCTGCACTCATTCATATATGAACAATATTCCACATACATCTGTATTACCAAGTAATAGTTTCTTTGTAACTCTGAGTTTCCTATAACATAGAATGTTTCTTTTGATTTTATTCTGCAAAGTATCTTTACAAACGCTTCTTTCCTACATTCACTTTCTCTGTCGATCTTCCTGTGTATAACATTTCCAGTTATGAATAATCTCTTACGTATTTGATAAGCTGTTATCCTTTCCAGCAACTAAATGAGAACTTTCTCACTTAACTTTAAAATATTCATCTTGGTGTGCCTTGCCCATGGAAAATGAAAGGAGTCTCAGCTCTTAAGTCCCTGGAAACTGCTTCTCACACAGGTGATCAAAGCTGTGGATGAAGGCTATCGGCTGCCGCCCCCCATGGACTGCCCAGCTGCATTGTACCAGCTGATGCTGGACTGCTGGCAGAAAGACAGAAACAACAGACCCAAGTTTGAGCAGATTGTCAGCATTCTGGACAAGCTTATCCGGAACCCGGGCAGCCTGAAGATCATCACCAGTGCAGCAGCAAGGTGACACTTAGATTTTACATTCTGCACTCACTCTGAAATTGATGTATTTTCTATCTCCAGTGTATTAATGTTTTTTTTCCTCCCACCTTCCTCATTGCATTCTTTGAAACTTGTATTCCCGAGTAATGGAGAAAAGTGTCTTTTTTTTTCTTTCTTTAAAAAAAAATCTTCCAAGAGGAATTATCCATGATGGTAAGATTCAGAGATATTTCTAACGTCCATCTTGACTAGGAATTAGTCTACATTCAGGCTTATGTTTAAGTCTTTGGAAAATAGGAACCCCAGACACATAGCTCCTTTTCACTCTCTACTGTTTAAACAAAATTATTTTAAAGGAAAAAAAAATGAAATCTTGAGTGGTGGTAAATCCTAGTGAAGTCCTGATTCATTCCTCATTTAAAATAAAGCTTCAAAAATAAAAATGCTTCTAAAATATTGCACCGGCTAGCAGAATGCAGTTTCCCCCACCGTGTAATTAAACAAAGTTTGTTTAACCCATATCATGTGCCAACAGCTTTGTTAGACATCGTAGAGAAGAAAACTGAGAACGAAAGTGTTGGTGTCCCCAGACTGCAACACAAATGTCAGTACATGATAGCCATAATGCAACCCAGAATGCATGACATCCATTAGGTTTTATGCATCTCCCGCCTAGTTAAGAATCACTCAGTTCTCCTCATGATGTTGGGAAATGGCAGTGAAAATGTATCTTAAAAAGTGCAATTAAAGAAATAGGGAAGAAGAGATGAATTTTGCCAGGGGCCACGAGAACAAAGAAGTGTTAATATATTTAGTACTTCCTAGTGAAACTAAAGGCAAAGCTAACTGTCATGTTTAATGATTTATATTCTCATTGTACATATAAGAGAACAATTCTTTTACATTCTAATGATATGTGCTCTTATAGGACGGTTATATGGTTTTAGTAAAAGAACTACACTTCGTGTGCCTAGAAATCCACAGTATTAAGTGACATGTATAAATGCTACATAGTGATGATTTACTGTGACTCATGTGTAAAAGATATAAAATACTGCCTTACTGGTAAGAATTTCTTTCTTTTTTGCTGTCTTTATTGATAATCACCAAGAATTATGACTTTCAAACTGATAGAGCATTTGCTGTTGCACTTTATAATCGCGTATATGATTTTTTTGACATTAAAAGGAACCATTCTTTTGAACATACATGATCCAGCTTTTGCACTATATTTGGATAAAATGAATAAGGGGAATCTGAACCAAAGTCTTAATATCAGTATCTAAAATTTATAGATTATTTGTTGAAAATAGCATTTAAGGGTCACTAGATTCAACTTGATGACATATTCTTGTAGGAAAAACTACTCATAATTTATCCTGTAAGAATGAATCTCTATCCCAATCTTCACAGAGAGAAACTATAGACTCTTTTGGATATCCAACTGACAGTTTGACAACCAACAGCATAACAAACCCATCCTTCCCTGAGCCATAGGGTCCTTGTTTTGTACCCCGAAGCCATTTCTTTTTATCCTTACTCAATATCAATCCTAGAGAAAAAAAAAAACTCCACATTTTTCAATTATTTCCATATCATAAAGAAAACATTCAGACCATTTCCATAGGATGGTATTATCAATATAAAAACCGACCCATCTAATAGGATCAAGGGATATTTAACTCCACTTCTGCATGGAAAAATGGTGTTAATATCATATTGTAGTGTGCCAGGATATCCAAATTTTAGCATACTTCTTAAGTTCATTTTTCCATTCTTATTGAAATTTAATATTATTTCTCTTAATATATATTCTTTTTTAAATGTTTATGTATTTTGAGAAAGAGAGAGCAAGCGTGAGCAGGGGAGGAGCAGAGAGAAAGAAGGAGAGAGAATCCCAATCAGGCTTTGCTTAACTAACTTAGCCACTCAGGCGCCCCTCTCCTAATATATATTCTTTAATACTTGAATAAATTCTGTGTATTTTGTCAGAAAACATGTAATTTTCGTGAAAATATTTTTCTAATAAGTGTCATACATCTTGATTCACTTAAATATAAAAGTCTTAGAAATTATGTTTATAGGTTTACTTATTGCCATTAAAACACACAAGTGGGTGGATTGCATCATTGTAAATTTATTAGTAACAAACAAGTTGCCATGCAACAATGTCAAGAAAATATTTATTTTTCCTTCAGAAAACTTGCTTTCCCACTTTGACAATGATTATTTCATCCTTTATCATAACTGATTAAACTCATTCCCTTCCCCCTATAATTTTTCGGTGATGCCCTTGCCACACACTTCATCAAGAAAATGCAAGCCATCAAATGGGAAATTCCAGCAGCAAAACAAAAAATGACTGGTGCCCGCACCCGTGCGTCTTATCTTTTTCTCCCCCTCTCTTTCTCTAATTACAAGAGAGGAAGAGAGGAAGTGTCCCTCTATTTGTCAGAGGCAAATCCTTCCTTTCTGTCCCTTGCTTCCCTCTTTCTCCCTCTCCTTCTCCCTTGCATATCCAGGTCCTTTTGTTGGCAGAACCATTGTTATAGAAATATGTTCTATTACATTGTTTCTCAAATTTCCCTGGCAAGAAGAATCACTGGGAGGAGCTAATTAAACATTCAGCTATCCAGGTCTCACCCAACTACTGATCCAGAATGTCTAGGAAAGGGGAATGGAATTTGGATGCTTGATAAAAACTTCAGGTGATTGTTGTCATAAAGGCAACTTAGGAAATGCTGTTTACCAACATTACCTCTGCCGGCCTCACATCTCTGCCAACTCCTTCCTTATTTATCTGCGAGCCTTCATGGCCATACTTCTCAAATAAGTTTCACAGTCATCTCAAACTTAATATTCTGAAATTTTATGTTTTTATTTTCTCCTGGTAGCCTCGTCCTTCCACCACTTTCCTAATTTAGTTTAATATACCAGCACCTATTCATTTGCCCAGTCAGGATTAGACTAATTCTTCGCACCTCTTTCTTGCCCTCCACACTTTGATTCTAGAAGGTCACTGGATCAGCATGATCCGTCCCTCTCCCTTTCCACTGCAAACCCCATCTGCTATGACTGTTTACCCCTCTGGCTGAGACACTGCAGTGGTCTCCTGACTTGTCGCCCTGCTTTCATTCTTTCATTCATTCTTACTTTCATTCTTTCATTCATTCATCTTTCATTCATCTTTGCACATAGCCTTCTGAATTTTCTTATCAAAATACATGGAATTTGGGGTGCCTACGTGGCTCAGTAAATGACTCTTGCTTTTGGCTCAGGTCATGTTCTCATGGTTTGTGAGTTCGAGCCCCGCATTGGGCTCTGCACTGACACTGTGGAGTCTGCTTGGAATTCTGTGTCCCCTGTCTCTCTCTATCTCTCTCCTGCTCGTGCTGTCTCTCTCTCTCTCTCTCTCTCTCTCTGTCTCTGTCTCTCTCTCTCTCTCTCTCAAAATTAATCAATAAACTTAAAAAAATATGTGATTTAATTTCAGTCACCTTTTTATAACCAATTTTGAACTGGAAAAAAATCTAGACTCTTGTTGACAAC